CTAGCAGGGGGACGAGACACCGGGGTGGGGTGGGGTGGGGACGACACACCTGGCTATGGGGCATGGGGACAGGTGCCGGGGTGGTTGGGACACAAGCCTGGCTATGGAACATGTGGAGAGATGCCGGGATGGGTGGGATACACACCCAGCTATGGGGCATGTGAAGAGGTGCCGGGGTGGGTGGGACCACACCCGACTATGGGGCAGGGGGACAGGTGCCAGGGTGGTTGGGACACACACCTGGCTATGGGGCAGAGGGACAGGTGCCAGGGTGGGGTGGGACCACACCCAGCTATGGGGCAGGGGGACAGGTGTTGGGGTGGGATGGGACCACACCCGGCTATGTGGCAGGGGGAAAAGTGCTGGGGTGGGACACACACCTGGCTATGGGGCAGGAGGACAGGTGCTGGGGTGGGACCACATCCGGCTATGGGGCAAGGTGTGTCCCCAGCCCGCCTGCCCCCATTCCTCCTTCTCCTACCCTGCCCCCCCATTTCCCCTCCCCTATTTGCTGAAGGGGGGGAGCAGCTGGGACTGGGTCCTCCCCCCTTGTGACTACCCCTCCCCCTTCTTTGTCCCCCTCCCCAATCTGGGGGGGGCAAGGAGTCCCAGCCCCAGCGCCCCCTCTTCCCATCTGGGGGGTCCTTGAGCCAATCAGGAGCGGGCTGGCAGCTCGGCGGCCAATGGGCGCAGGGAGGGGCGGGGCCTTATCTCCTTGCTGGATACACTGTAGCGCTGCGGGAGTCCGCTGCGGAGGCGGCCGCCGTGGGGCGCCTGGGCCGGGGGCTTTGCTGCTGCCGGGGGTCCCGGGGCGAGTCCGGCCGCTCCCCGCTCTGCTCCCGCGGTCCTGGGAAGGTAACGGTGCCGCGGGTCCCTTGACACCCCCCCAGATCTGGGGGGATTTAAATCAGAGCGGCCCCACCCCCTACCTCTCCCCACACCTCTGCCCCACTCCCACCCGGCGTCTCTCCATCCCCTCACCATCCCGTCTCCCCCGGGGTCCCCCCGTCTGCCCCATCCCCCTCACCATCCCGTCTCCCCCGGGGTCCCCCCCGTCTGCCCCATCCCCTCACCATCCCGTCTCCCCCGGGGTCCCCCCCGTCTGCCCCATCTCCTCACCACCCTGACTCCCCTGGGGTCCCTCATCTGCCACCATCCCCCTGCCACTCCGTCTCCCCTGGAGTCCCCCCGTCTGCCCCATCCCCCTGCCACTCTGTCTCCCTTAGGGTGCCACCTTCCCTCTCCCTCCCACGTCCTCTGGAGTCCCCCCAGTGCCCCCCATCCTCCCAGCACCCCTCTTGCCCTAGGGCCCCCCACCTTCCCTCTGCCCCTGGATGCTCCTTCCCTTCCCTGGCACTGCCCACTCCCCCTCTTACCTCTGACCTCCTCCATCTACTGGTGTCCCCACCCCTAAGGTTTCTCTGTTCTCCCCCTTGTGCCCCCCCAGTGTTCCCCCTCTTGGGGGGGGGGCTCGGACCCCTCCCCCCCGCCGCACCCCTTGTGAGCTCCTTTGGTAGGAGGCTCCCTCTGTCTTTCTCTGCTCCTGTCCCTTAATCCGCTGGTCCCCGCACTCCACTCGGACGGGAAGGTGACTCCCATCAGGGCTCCCATTCCAGGGCCCCTGGACCATCCCCAACCCCCTCATGGCTGGATTTCCCAGGGAGCAGAGCTGGGAGGGGCCCCTTGGCAGGGCAGGGTTGTTCCTTCGGGCGCTGGGGTACAGACGGCAGAGCCGGTGCGTGGGAGCGGGCAAGGGGCACATCGGGCTGACCTGCACCCCCGCATGGTGGTGGTGACAGTTTCCTGAGCCGGCTCTCGTCCAGGAGGTCCCGTTGACTGCTAGCCCAGCCCCAGAGGGGAGGGGATCACCCCCTACTGCAAAGAGCAGAAGAACCAGGGCTGTGGGGTTAATTTAATTCTGGGTCTGAGTCCCATCGGGACCGGTCCCACTTAGGGAGAGGAGACCAGCCCGGCTGTAGCCCAAGGACCTGGCTCTGAGCCCTCCAGGGGCTGGCGAGTAAAGAGCCCAGCTGTGAGCGGAAGGTGGGGGGCGGCTCGGCGTGGGCACCAGGTGTGAGTGTGTGTGAGTGTGGGGGGTGTGCCCCTGGAGCGGGGAGATGGAGGTTGCAGAGTGGGGTTTGGGGGCTGTCTGGATCACTTGAATCAGAGGGTGTTCTGGGTGGAGGGGGGCAGGAGATGGGGGGGTGCTGGCTGGGGGTCCCCTTGGATGCTGGGGTGGCAACCTAGGGCATATGGAGGGTCTCTTAAGGGCGAAGATACTGGCTGCACTTGGGTGTGTTGGTGGAGGGCACTGCATGGGGGTGGCACAAGGGGGCATGGAGGGCACTTGGGGGACATTGGGGGGCATGGAGGGCACTGGGTGGATGGAGGCCTAGGTGGGGAGGAGACCCAGGGGGGACATGTGAAGGGCGCTGGGTGGTTCTGTCCCTCTGTCCATCCATCCCTTCCCTCTAGCGGGGTCTGGCTGGGCAGAGAGGCCCCCCCCGTTGCTATGGAAACCCCCTCCCCATCTCTCCGTGCTCATCAGCCAGCTCTGGTTTGCTGTGGCCGTCAGCCCTTCCCAGCAGCCTGGGGGGAGAGCAAGGGGGGGACGGGGGTTGGCGTCTCTGGGGAGCTGCCGGCTGCCTGGGGGCTACGCTCTCCTGGTGAGTGATGGGGGGCGGCTCCCCCCAGATGCATGGGGGCAGGGATGGCAAAGGGGCTGGGTGGGGGAGACACGGCCCATCATGCGGTGGGGAGGCTTGAACTGGTGGAGGGGGGTCTGCCCAGCCCCATAGACTCCCTGAACGTCCTGGCGTCACCCACTGGGATGCATTGACCTAGTTTCGACCTGACTGTCGCTCTCTGGTCGTCTGCCTCTGCTCCCCTCCTGCCCACCCCCCCAACTCTTCCCCCTCCAGCTCTCTGGGGGTTTGGGGTCACTTCCACCTCATTTCGGACCCAGCTCTGAGCCTGGAAGGAGGCCGGGGTCCCCGGAGCAGAAGGGCAGGATCTGCCCAGTGGGGGGAGACACGGGCACAGGAGGGGTGGTGGGGGTGGAATAGCCTCTGCCAACATCCTGCCTCTGCTAGCCGTCGCCCAGGCAGACCCGTTGGCTGGGTCCCCGTGGAGTCGTTAGCATCCCCCTGGGGTGGGAGCTCAGGTTAGGGTCCCCTCTGAAGAAAGATGCCCCCCCTTTGCTGCCTCCCCCCTCCCCGCAGGTCAGGTCATGGGGATGACCCCCCCCCCCCATTCTCCTCCTGGCATGTTCGCCAACCCACTGAGCGCTCCCAAGTCGTGTGATGCAGGGGAACGGCCCCAGGACCCTCCCTGTCTGTGCCCTGATCGGTGACCCATTGACCTCCCTTGGGGCTGAGCTCGTGGGGCTCTCGGGGTCAGAGGGGCAGCAGAGATCAAAGCCTCTCATCTCACTGTTCTGGGGGGGGGCATGCCCCATGGCACATCGTGTCCCCCCCCCCACCAGCTAATATTTATCTCACTCTTCGGTTCCCAGCCTCTGCCCCCCACCCCACCTCCGGTGGCTGCTTCTGCACCAAAGCCCCGTCCTGGGACCCCTTCTCAGCCCCCCTCCCTGACTGTTTGTTCTCTTGCCCCCCTGGGACCTGGTGATTAATTAACAGCAGCTGCCACTTAGCTCTGATTAATAATGGAAGGCACGCGAGGGGGCTGGGCTGGGTTCTGCAGCTCAGGTGCCCATTTCTAGCCCAGGATCTTCCCGGCTTGGGAACGTCTGGGCTGCACCCCCGCCCCGAGGTTCATCCCCACACCCCCCACCCTGGGGCTCATCTCTACATCTACCTCTTCCTCCCCCCTTGGGCTTATCCCTTTCCCCCTCCCCCAGTCTGTGGCTGTGTCCCTAGGTTCCCCCAATCCCCCCCCCCTCCCC